TCCGTGTGACCGTCGCCGAGTTGGTCAAGTTTGCGTGGGCTGCCACCGTCCGCAAGTACACTCGCCAGAACGATGTCGTGTTCGGCCAAGTGGTGGCGAATCGAGACATTCCTGTCCATGATGTCGACAGGTACTCGTTTTCCACCCGAATGAAACTTCCGTCTAACGTCTTGTGTAGAATTCTGGGTCCTTTGGTCAGCACGGTGCCTTGCCGCGTTCAGTTCGACGACACTTTGTCGGTGACGGCCATGCTGGAAGGTATTCGGCTAGAGCGTGGTGCAGTGTCCAGCCATTCCCATGCCAGTCTGATTGATATCAAGCGATGGAACGGCATCGAGGGCGACTTGTTCGATTCGTTGCTGGTGTACCAGAATGTCCCCACGGCTAGCTCGAAGGTTCGTCCAGTGGGCCAGCCAAGCAAGACGTTTTCTACCGACCACACGCTTGAGATCATCGTGACCCCCGCGGCGGCCGGACTGAGCTGTTGCGCCTTGTACAAACCAAGTGCCATTCCAAGGGACCAAGTCCAGTGGATGTTGGAAGAGTTTGACTTCACGTTGAGTCAGATTTGTTGCAACAAGAGCGGGGACATGGCTGTGTCTGAGTTGTGGACCATGAGTCCAGCTCAGACGACATTGGTTCGAGCTGCCTCGTCAGGGCCAGAGGTGGCGTTGCCGTTCGGACTGCTTCACCACGCCTTTGAAGCTCTAGCCAAGGCGCGTCCTCATGCTCGAGCTGTGGAGATTCAGGACCGGTGGCTGTCGTACGGGGAACTCGACGCACTCGCGAACTCGGTGGCCAGTGACCTGGCCCACTTGGGCGTGTGCGTTGGCTCTCGAGTGGCTGTGATCATGGACCGTTGTTTGGAGTTTCCCATTGGATTGCTTGCGGCGCTCAAAGTGGGTGCTGCCATGATGCCATTGGATGTGGCCTTTCCCTCTGCTCGCTTGGCATTCATGGTGGCAGATGCTGGTGTGTGCGCTGTGGTCACGACCAGACGATTCAGTCAAACGATTGTCGATTTGAAGTTGGCCGTTGACGTTGTGACTATTGATGCTGCAACGCCCAAGTCAGAGTTCGTGCCATCGGCCTGCCACATGGCCACCAAGTTGGACGAAGCGTACATTGTCTACACGTCTGGATCGACTGGCAAACCCAAAGGCGTTCCCGTTCTGCACCACAGTGCTGTGAACTCGATGGAGCGCTTTGGTGGAATCCTTGAAATCAAGGAGGACTCTAGGGTGTTTCAACTCATGGCCATTGGTTTCGATGGATTCCAAGCCGACATGTGGGAGAGTTTATCGTATGGTGCGACCTTGGTCATGAGAAGTGAAGATGATGTGTCGGCGCTGTCAACGGCTAGCAACCTGACGTGCACCCCCACTGCGTTGTCCTTGCTGGGCGAACCAAACCAGTATCCCCAGCTGAAGGTCGTGGCGGTGGCTGGAGAGGCTTGTCCAGTGGCACTCAAGGACTTGTGGGCACCAAGGGTCAAGTTGTTCAATCTGTACGGTCCGTCTGAGTGTGCGATCATGTCCCACGGTACTCGACTGAGCCTGACGGAATCCATTGCAATCGGGTCGGTGCTTCCCAACGTCCATTGCTACGTGTTGGACGACAACCACCGACAGGTCCCATTTGGCATTCTGGGTGAATTCTACTTGAGCGGCATTTGCGTGTCGCCAGGCTACATCAACTTGCCGGAAATGACGGAAGAGCGATTCTTGGTGGACCCCTTTGGCCATGGCCGAATGTACAAGACAGGGGATCTGGGTCGTCTGCTGCCCAATGGCCAATTCGAAATCGCTGGCAGACAAGACAGTCAGGTCAAGTTGAAGGGCTACCGCATCGAGTTGGACGAAGTGGCCAATGCCATGATGCAGCACCCATCGATCAAGTCGGCCGCTGCCATTGTCAA